ACCTTTTCTAGCCACTGGTAGAACTTTAATTGATGTGCAGCAAGGAAAATTGATGCTTAGAGTAGAAAATGAACAAGTTACTTTTAATGTCTTTGATGCCATGAAATACCCATCTGATATTGACTCTTGTTTTATGATGGAAACAATTGATGAAACAATTAATGATATGTTGCAGGAAGATTGTCCAGACCTGTTGGAGGCATGCGTTGTTCATTCCAAAGACATTAATGCTGAAAATGAGGACATTAGGGAGTATGCATTTCATTTGGAAGCTTGCCCACCGTTCTTGAACTCAAAGGAGTCAAGTATTCAAGATTTTAGAGCTAATATGCCTCGGCTAAAACCATCACTAGAAGAACCTCCAAAACTTGAACTCAAGCCTTTACCTGTTCATTTAAAATATGCTTATTTAGATGAAGATCTTTCTTTGCCTGTAATTATTTTTTCTTCTTTGACAGGTTTAATGGAGGAAAAGCTTCTTCGAGTTTTAAGGGAGCACAAAGGAGCATTTGGGTGGACAATAACCGACATAAAAGGAATTAGTCCCTCAATTTGCATGCACAAAATACTCATGGAGGAAAGCTACAAACCGAGCATTCAACCACAAAGGTGTTTAAATCCACACATGCAAGAGGTAGTGAAAGCTTAGGTAATAAAATTACTTGATGCTGGAATTATTTATCCTATTTCTGATAGTTCATGGGTAAGTCTAGTCCAAGTAGTTCCAAAGAAAGGAGGTATGACAGTTGTTATGAATGACCATAATGAATTAATTCCCACTAGGACAGTAACTGGTTGGCGTGTTTGCATAGATTATAGAAAATTGAATGATGCCACTAGAAAGGATCATTTTCCTTTACCTTTTATTGACCAAATGTTGGAAAGACTTGCTGGGCATGCTTTTTACTGTTTTCTAGATGGTTATTCAGGATATAATCAAATTCCTATTGCACCCGAAGACCAAGAAAAAACCACTTTCACTTGTCCTTATGGTACTTTTGCTTATAGAAGAATGCCTTTTGGTTTATGTAATGCACCTGCTACTTTTCAAAGATGTGTGATGGCAATTTTTCATGACATGGTAGAGAAAATTATTGAGATATTCATGGATGATTTTTCTGTGTTTGGTGACTCTTTTGATGCATGTCTAAAACATCTGGACCTGGTTTTACAAAGATGTGAAGAGACTAACCTTGTTTTAAATTGGGAAAAGTGTCACTTTATGGTACAGGAGGGTATAGTGCTTGGACACAAAGTTTCTCAAAAAGGCATTGAAGTTGATAAAGCAAAGGTAGAAGTGATTGAGAAATTACCTGTTGTACCTATGATTTTGATGATTACAAAACACATTTGAGTGACTAATTGGTTCATTTAAGTGTGTAGTTAAAATGTCAAAAGATTGCAAAATAAGTAAACCTGGACTGCACTTAATAATGGACCAGAAAGGCTTGAACATCTGCAGA